CACCCCTGGCAACAATAATTTAAAAAACACGTGGAAACATATAAACAATAACATGAGCGGACCATAGAGCTGTGGACAATCGGGGTAGATCTAATTAGAGTTGGAACAGGCTGAGCCTTGCTTCGCAGCACTCGCTAAGTCACGAGCAGGGCCGAGGGGGTTGTGATTATGCAAATGAGCTCTTGTGCACATCTCTCGCCCTCCATTCTACTTTGCCGGACCAGGAGTAGGCCAAGCCTAGCAGTCGCGAGCAAATTTATATAGTGGACCTCGTGTTTAGATTGAGCAATTAGCCTCAAGGTGTCAGGGTCGTGGGTCAAAGGGCACGCTGGCATGGTCATGATGACTGAAAAACCTGTTAAGAGACGTCAGTCGGTTGTTGGCAGTCGAGGGGTGAGGATGTAGAAAACTGAGTAGAGGAGTGAGTAGGGGAGCTCGGAAAGGAAGAACAGCGGACCACTAGGCACTAGGGGCGCCATAGTGAAAGTAGTTCCAACCAGTGGTACGGTAAAGTACAATCTTACCCAGCTTTCCTTTGTCCTTCATTATCAGGTTAAAAACTTTTCGTATGCCCCTCGTATTTAAAAAAATAAAATAAAACGTGCAGGGGTTAGCCAATGCATCGGGGCTGTGGCATATATCTTGAGAAAGCTTTGTAATCACTAAAAATGAGTAGAGAAGGATTTTCATAACATTGTGTTGACAGTTTGAGCAAAAACCATTTCACACAATAATCATGATAAAAATGTTCTGCTTCTGGTATAGAAGAAGATTGAATCCAATTAAATTTTAAAAAATACATTTTGAAACTGAGTGTACCAGTAAAAAGATTATTTGTGAGGGGAGAAATCAGGTGCTCGTCGAAATCTAGGGAAATTGAAGAAACAAGCTTTTTTTTCTACCGTTTGGCAATTTTTATCAATTTATAATTTTCAGGTTCAGTACCTTTTATTATTGTCTATTCAAAAAATATATTTTTGGGGGATTTTACTGGAAAAGTTGATCAACAAAGGCACAAAAGATGTAAATTTGCAGTCATCAAACTTAGGCGGTTATCTACACCCTAATTTTACTGCCTCTGACAACAGGCGACTCCATCTCCTTCAGTAGAAAGTAATAACGACTTCTTTTTAGGATATATTTAAGCCAAAAGCAAGAGAAATGAACAAGCTTTAATGTTATGTTATACCAATTGAATAACTCTCCATGCCCTAAAATTGATGAGCTCCTGATTCTGTGTCTTATCACATTTTTCTGTTCATTTTGGTAACAACGGTGTTTTCTTTTCTCTTATCATTGAAGGTTTCCTATGAAAGACCTTGCAAGGAAACAGCAGTGGATCAAAAACATCAGCAGAGAAGACGTTAATGGCAAGCCCTGGCAGCCATCATTGTACGATAGAGTATGTTCAACCCACTTCAAACCAGCGGATTTCAAAGATGGAACACTGGTTAAATGCCTCAAGGACGATGCAGTTCCAACTATTTTTCCAAATTACCCTAGCTACAAGCAACCAACTCCTTCTCGTAAACGTCCACCACCGAAGGAAAGGCCCTTCCCTTCACCCTCAACATCATGTGCTTCATCGCCACGGCTTCCAAAATACAGTTGCATGGACCACACATACAGCTATCAAAGTGTAGAGGAACATCTGCGAATTACAAAGGAAAAACTTGCAGAGACTGTGCAAAAGTTACAAAGTGAAAGAGAGAAGACAAGAATTCTGGGGCAGAAAGTGCATCGACAAAAGTGTAAAATTACTAGCATTTTGACGCCTCACCAGTAGCTATCGGAAAGTAATAATTTGAAGTGAGCACCTCCGCAAGATCTTATTTTTGGTGAGTCTTTTATGTTTGCTGCTTCTTTTTTATTACCAATCACGTATTACTAATTATAATGCGTCCACTCCTCAGCCCCCAAAAAAGGAGTTGGAACATAGGAAACATGTCAGTACTACTCTTTGTTTACTTTGTTTTACATTTGATTTTTATGTGTAAAGCATTCTTGCAGCCTTTTCTGCACTTTTGTGTTTTTGGCAGCATATATGTTGTGCAATCAACTCATTCTCATTCTGTGTGCATGTAGATCTGGATCCCCGTCCCATCATTTTTTAAAAATGGACGCAAAAAACAAGAAATAAAACAAAAACAACTTTCGCTTCATTCTCTTTACTCGTCATGCAAAGGCAAAGGTTTGCTATTTGAGATGCCCTGTGTGTTCGGATTATTCTATACGAGGCCTTTCTTATAACATTGCCTAAATGGTTGGCACTAAAAATGTATTTTGTACGGTATAACACGGATAGATAGGTCAAACACAGAAGACTCGAAATCATGCATTCGTCGAACTGTGCCTGTGGTCCCATTTTTAGGGTTATTTTTTTCTTTTCTTCATCTTTGTAAGATATCCCTCGAACTACCGAAGCCAGTCCCGACGCGTTCGAGCTATCCATGTTATAATGTATTTCACTATTTCCGCTATGAAGACAGTTTTAAAATAC